TGGAACACACACAGAAAATCATTAGTATAGACTTCTGTGTGGGTTCTTCAGCCTAAGAAATGTTCTTTCAAGTCTTCCTAGCAGGTTTTGCTCTGTTTGAAGCATGTCTTCCAAGCTACTGGTCTGGCAATGACCAACTCTTAAAAGGATCGGGCAAAATCAAGGACTCTTGACTGTTTAGTTTTGTTTTTTGTTTTTTAATTTTTTTGGGGGGTGGGGAGAGTAGTTTTTTAAATTTTTTTAAATGGAGGTTCTGGGGATTGAACCCAGAATGCTGTGCATGCTAAGCATGCACTCTACCACTAGGCTGTACCTACCGCCCAATTCTGGTTTGACTTGAGCCTCCTGGAGAGGGTGGGATGCCCGGCCTGTGTGAGGATGCGTGAAGAAGCTGTGTATCATACGCAGGTGGGTGTTTTCAAGAATACACATTCTGAGATCTCAGAAATGGAAAACGTATTCGAGTGCGTGTGCATACATTTCTGAAGCCCTAATGTTCAGTGGCTTGGCTGATGACCCGAGTGAAAGGCAGGGACAGGAGCCTCTCCCCACCGCAGGGGATGACGTGGCTTCTCCCCTTGTGCTCAGATGGCCCTGAGTCCTGCCCTTTTGCCCCTCAGCCGCACGGACTGGGCAAGGCCACAGAGGCTTCTGGTTTCTGCTCACAGTCGGGGAAGAGGCCCCAGAGCAGCCTATGGGCGCTGGGGGCTTGGATGCCTGTGGATGGCCAGAGGGAGGAGTCGGGAGCTCACCACAGATGGTGGCCTTGGATGGCACTGACTCAGGCAAAGCTGGGGCTGGTGAGTGAAAGTTTCCAAGCAGACAGCAAGCTTAAATGGAACGAAATTAACCAGCAACGGTTAGGGGAAAAGGTCGGTCTGTCTGGGGTTTATTCATCAACGGCCTCCACCTTTGGGATGTGGATTTCAAGGGACAGAGAGCCAAGGGCTTAGGGACCACTGGCCGAGCTGATCCTCTCACATCCGGGTCCATTCCCAGGTCATGGGGCCATCTCTGCAGTAAATCCTGCACAAAGGAAGAAGAGGGGAAAACACGAGGGCAAGGCTGGGCCTGCTGACCACTGCCCTTACTCCAGAGTGGGGCTGCGTTGTTTTTTTACCCCCTGTTTTTACTCCCTTTTTGCAGGGGTGTTGCTGCTGCATTCTCTCATCAGAAGGACTGTTTGGGAAGCTTTGGTAAGTAGCCACCCTATGGGCTTTGAGAGCCAAATCCAATTTGAAACATGCACCCGAAATGAAAGTTGGAAGAATACTAATTTCCTTTGCTAGTAAGTGCTTTCCCAACCCAGGAGCTCCCTTGGAACGAAAAGGAGAGTGGGAGAGAGGAGCAATAGGACAGAATTTCCAGGACTGCAATTAGATTAATTGTTCCCTTCACAAGACAGTCAAACAAGGCAGGGGGAGGAGGAAGAAACCCATTTACTCTGAATGCAAATGGCAAGGAAGATGTTAAAAATACCTTGCAGGGTGAGAGATGGAGGGAACCGGATGTGTCTTTCCAAGTACAAAAATTAATCAGAGTAAGAGAGAAATGGGGAGTAGGGGAGACGGGGGGAGGCAGAGAGAAGTAGGGATGAGGTTAGGTTGCGGAGGCTTGACCCCAACAGAGCCTTTCTGACGCTTTGGCACTGGGGGAAGGAGACCCCAGGAAGACTTTTTTCTGACCTTCCTGAACTTTTCAGTTCCAGCTGAAAGTATGGAATGGAGGAGTGGGGAGAAAAACAGGAAGCCACTTAGTAAGGATGATAAACTCGAGTAGCTTTAGAACAACCTGGAACTCGCCTGCTTCCCCTCCTCCAACTCCAGCCAGAGGCAACGTCTTTGTCCCTCTGCCGCCAGCGGGCTTCGGAGGCCTTGTGATGGCCCCATCCCTGGGGCTCAGCCCCCAGCGGTACAGGAGCGTGCTGCCCTGGCCTTTCTTGCTTCCTGACATATTTTAAGCCGTGCTCACCAGCTCCTGAGTGTTCCGTTCCAAAAGCCTTGCCTTCTCTCTCTGCCACTATGAATATACATGAGCTGACCTCTTAGCAATTCCCCTGGGAGATTTGCAGGCATAAGCATAACAGATTTTGGCCCTCAGTGGAGAGAGGTGCTTAGTCAAATTTCTCCGAGCTCAGACCCAAGCTCTCGGTACATTACACCTCAATTTGTGCCAACCGGCCAGACAGCAGGAGCCTTATACCTTATACAGACGCTCTTTGAACATAAATTTTTGGTAAAGTTCACTGGCAGGGAACTGGCAGCCTTGAGTGCAAATGTGCAAATGTG